AATAATAATGATAACAATAATAATGATAAAAAAGTGCCTGCTTATTGATATGGCAGTTCCTGCAGACTGCAATGTATCTTTGAAGATCTTCAAAAACTATCAAAATAAGAGGACCTTGAAATCGAAATCTCAAAAATGTGCCACATGGGAACATCAACAATTCACATTGTAGTTGGTGCCCTCGGATTGGTTGGAAAAGGTTCCAGTAGACTAACTGAAGAGATTCCTGGAAGCCCATGCCTTAAAGAAATAGAAAAAAATTGTTCTCACAAGGACAGCCCACACCTTACGAAGGGCTTTGTTTATGTAAAATATGTTGTATTTTTTTGTTTTATTTTCCAGTGGAAAATGTCATGATGCCAATTATAACCTTAGGTCCCTGGGTGAGACCCGGAAAGAAATGAGTGCACACCAGAAATCAAAGGAAATAAAATAATGATAATAATAATAATAATAATAATAATAATAATAATAATAATAAATACAAGGACTTTGAAATCGAAATCTCAAAAATGTGGCACATAGGAACATCAACAATCCCTGTTGTAGTTGGAACCCTATGGTTTGTTGGAGAAAATTCCAGTAGACTAATTGAAGGGATTCCTGGAAGTCCATGCTTCAAAGAAATACAAAAGATTGTTCGCACAAATACAGCCCACAGTTTACGAAGGGCTTTATCTATGTAAAATATTTATTTTTCTTTTTTTTCTTTTTTTTTTTTTTTGTCAGTGGAAAATGTCATGATGCCATTTCTAACCTTAGGTCTATGGGCGGGACCCGGAAAGAAATGTGCACACACCAGAAATCAACGGAAAAAATAATAATAATAATAATAATAATAATAATAATGACAATAATAATAATAATGATAATAATGATGACGATGATGATAATAATAATAGAAGGCGAAGAGGTGCTCTGTGCAACGCCTAAGAACAAAGCCCATTAATGACTGTATTGATAAAAAATAAGTGATTATCTTTTGTGTAGGTGACGTGGGAAAGATATTGAAAGTGTGTAGCTAGCAGAAAAAGAGTTCAATCGACGCCATGACAAAGTATCCCTCAGAATCCTTTGAAAACTATGCAGGAGAGGAGTGGGGGCATGGCTTCGAGTTCACAGAGAATTGGTACGCACGTTCACCACCGACAATAGCCGCCAACGTGAAATTGAAGCTCATGTGCGATACGACCATCTTGACTGACAAGCGCTTGGGGAGCAATCACTTTGACAACACCACATCTGCGCTAGAACAGCCATGAATGCATCCTGAAAGACCCTACGGTACCTGGGGTACATGAGGATAAGAATATTCGTGAAGGCAGAACAAGCGAAAATGCAGGGCAAATCGTACAAATGTACCAAGCTGCAAGTCTAGCAGATCCTGTTGTAGCTCATATTCTCAGGTCTATCTCTGTCACAGAAGAATCCTTAGGGGATATCTAACATCAATGGGAGTGCGTATATGGTGACATTGCTTCTTTTCTTTTTTTTCTTTTCATCCAAGCAAGGCGGAAATGCCACTAGTACGCAGGAAGTTACAGGGAGTGAAAGTGAAAGAGAAAACTGAGAATTGGGAAGATGGAGAAAAAGACAAAAGATGAACGGGGTTCAATTAGACAAAAGATGGCGATTGACGTTGCACAGGGATCGAAAATTAAAAATAAGATGAGGAGGATTGAAGGGAGGACAA